AATTTTACTCGTTGTTTGTATCCAAACCCACCACCTTAAAACTCTCTTAGCGAGGATTTTTGACACTTGACTCTATATTCTTTTAATTAAATTTTTCTCTTCGTTTCTAGACAAGGTTTTTATCTGTAAACATTTTCTCTGTGGTAATATATTCGTTGCAGTTCAGCTGGTTTTATTGTGGCCCATTAAACCATGTAACTAGCCAATTTCCCAAAACGTCTAGTACACAAAAGCAAAGTGAATCTAGAGGTAACTCTGTGATTTTTTTTGTTTCTCCGTTATAGCTGTATACGAGCTCCCTAAGCTGTCCTTCAATTTTATATAGATAAAATCTTTCACGATGAGCTCGAATCAAATATATTTTAACCAAAATTTCGATAGTTTGAGGTCGTTTGCCAGTCCCGAAAATGATTTAATTAGCATAGTTGTCGAAATGTGATGTTCACCTAAGCGTAATAAACCACCATAACTGTAACTTTTGGAAGAGAAATGCATTATACAGTAAAAATTTATTCAGTTTACAATCAATTCAGTCTGTCTCTAACTCACCAATGTATTATCAATTTTAAGCATTTTTACCATTTTTATGTCGCATGATAGGTTGTTTAATTCTGTTACGTATTTATTTAGTTAGTTATCATTTATTTTTTTATTTTAATCATTTTTTTATTTGATTGTCTCCTGTGTTAAGCTGTGTAAAACTTAATTGAAAAGTGCTTGAGGCCTCGAAGATTCTTTGTCTCTGTTTTTAATTGCCGTCTGATGGTTTACATCTTTCTTTCCTCCCTCTGCTTTTTCTTAAGAATAGTAAAATTTTCTGTATTCAGATAAACAAATATAACAGGAACAAACCAACACCATAAAATTGTGGAAATTTTCATGGTCATGCATCTGCACATTTCTATTAAGTGGAAAGAAAAAGCAGACTAATCTTTAATCATAACCATTACAATTTCCACCAATATGATTGGTGCATTAGCTGCTTTATTTTTCACTAATCATTCTGTAGAACTACAACCAGACAGTTGGCTGTAATTGGACAGTTGAAGTAGTTATTCATACTAAGTCCACTCAGCCAAATCCACCAATCACAGAATTAAACACAATAACCATAGCAAAAGCCACTTATCCTACAAAAAATTTAGGAATTTCCAAAATGGAGAAATTTTTTTTAATTTAGACATTGTCTCAACCGGGGATATTAGACCTAAATGTATTAATTATTTTTGGAAATTGAAATGGTTATGATTAATTAGTAATAGGACTTCTTGTTGTCCAATTCTGTCGGCAATCATACTTGTGATTAACAAATTAGACTCCCACTCTGCGGTCATCCAATTTTGTTTGTCACTGGTATGATTACAGAGCAAATTGGACTCCACTCAGTCCTATTATGATTACTAATCAAAACTATAACAAAACTATCAAACGTAATTAATTATCACCAGCCCAATTTTAACACTGATAGGACAGGGTGGGCGTCATGCCTGTGTGACTAGTCAGTAAGTGTCTATCGTGCACGCTGTAGTTGCACATTTCCCCGAGTTAACTATTTTTTTTTTTTAAGAAAATGTTTAACAGATGTCTAGTTTCTTTCTCAACTTTTGTTTTGGTTTAGATTAATTGGTAACAGGACAGTGTGTTCAATTCTGTCTGTAATCATACACATATTATTAACAAATCAGTCTCCCACTTTATGGTTGTTCTCTTTTGTTAATAACTTGTATGATTGCAGACTGAATTGGACTTCACTCAGTCCTATTAATGTTATAAATCATGGTGAATGTCAAATAAACAACACTTTTGTTTGTTAATCTGAAAACTGAAATTGGAAAAGAAAAAAGGAAATTAAAAGTAATGAAAAACTGCACATGTAGTCTTGAAAATGATGAAGTAAACATCAAATTTAAAGTTTAGGTATTTGTAAATAATGACTTTTTGAAAATTTATGTATTCACACAAAATTTCCACTCTTAATACATGTATGTTCACTCAATGACATGCAACGTCAATAAGTAACATGACTTTATTTTGTTACAGATGACATTTCACTAAGCCAGAGATTCAAATCCTTGCAAATGGAGGCTAAGGAATGGTTTGATAAGTTTTGCCAACAAGTAGAATTGGAAGGAAAATGCAAAGAGAAGGCTTGGAACATTTGGGTGTCTGTTTCCTCAAAAATAAAAGAAAAATCTGAGGTATATGAAAATTCAGAGGCTCATTTGCTTTTTAGTTTATTCAAAGAAGCAAATTTTAATTTGCATCAAGATTGTGGTATAAATAATGATTTCAGATTCTGTGTTTTCTTACCTTCTTCAATGTGGATGTTTCAAACTCTTCCTCCATTATGTGTTTGAAATAGGCATTTTCACATCAAGATAAATGGAAAAATTTTGACTATTTCTATGAAATCAGATTTGTTAATTCTGTTAAATATTGTAAGACTTCAATTTAAAAACCATTCCTAGACTTATCAAAGCCTTAAAGTAATCTTTTAACTCTAGAATCAGTTTCAACTAGAATGCTGAAACTTCATGTTGAGTCTTTAATTAAATGTGGCAATTAAATCTTACTTTGTTTCCCTTGCAGAATACTTTAATTCCGTGGTTTATATGTGCCATATATGTTGCAAATTATGACACAAGGTCAGTATGCAGCTGACATGTAGAAGAATAGCTGTGAAATGAAAATCACCCATAATGAAAGAGTTACCCATACAACCCTTTTTCTGATATTCAGATTTAATAGCGTTCAAGATTCAGGTGCCACTAAAACTACCTGTTCATTGAGCAAGCTATTGAAGGAAGCTAAAATAAGGTAAGGCAAAACTGTTATAGACTAAGGTACATTAGTTTTATGAATTTTTTGTGTGGTTTTTCTTTGTTATCATTTATGGCTGTACTCTTTTGAGGTTATATCATCATACAGTTATAGACAGAAAAATATTTTATACAAGTGAGGTTCATACTGTATGTTAGTGCAATGATATTTTCTTTCTGGCAGCATTGTGGAATTCTTCCAGAAGATGAAAAAGTTCAGTTCAGTTTGGGAAGTTGGTGCTCCTGTTACAGATCACCTTACTGAAGTAAAGAAAACATTTTGTATATCTGCAGCTCTGTTCCACAAGTTTCAAAGGTACATAACTTATTTATAGTCTTAGTTAACAATTTTTCCTTGATCAAGAAGGATGATATCTGACACAAATTTAGATTTAATTTTTTACTGCATCAGTAAAATTCTACCCCCATTGGTTCCATGGAATCATAAAAAGTCTTTATTGTCCCATATGATATTTGTGATCCCATGTGACATCCTAAAACTTAACTTACAATTATAGTGTTGCAAATATATTTCCTAATGACTGTAGTTATGGTGTCTGAGGCTGATGTTGATAATTAAACTTTATGTAATATTTTCATTGTTGCAGAGTAATGCCTGTGCTTTTTAAAGGTTGTCAAGACTTATGTGACAGGTATTAAAGAATTTTCCTTTTTTAGTAAGTTTATCATCATTTAAGTTACAACTTTTGTCATAACATGTTATAGCTGCTATGGTGCCGCTCCCCATGACAGGCACCATAAAAGGTAACAGGTATAGAGCTCTCTACATAATTCCTTTTCTTTTGTTTTCATGTTAATCAGCCTTCTTACCCCTGTCAATATCTGTAAAAATAATGGAATTTTTGCTGAAAAACAAGACCAAGAACTCTGAATTGTATGCAATTTAAAGAATGACAAAGAGGCCCAAAAGTTAAACAAGAAGTCTTTGCAGGTTTTACAGAACAGAGGAAGCTACTACAGAAATGAAATGATGTGGTGTATTTGAATGATTTTGAGTTGACTGATTTTATTTTGACAGTGAAGAGAGAACAGAAACTATAAAAAAAACATGCTGGCTTTTATATCTAGTCTACAAAGGTACAGTGCTTCATTTTTTGTCATAATCTACATCTGCTTTTATCATTAATAGTTTGATTGAATATAATCAAATTAGTTGGACTCGGTGTATTAATTTATATTATTATGTACTCATTTGTTTTAAAACCCTCTCTTTGCATTGCATTCATCCATAAGTTGACTTTCTTTATAATTATTATCCATTGTGAAATACCGTAAACGTCCATGTATAAGCTGCATCCAAAGGGAGAAGTGTAACTTTTTTAGCCTCTTGTTTATGTTTTGTGATCATTTTTGTACCAGCTTGCTTAATATTGTCTCTTACTGATTTTAGGTCACAGTAGTTTGCTGATTTTCTTTTCTCTGATAATCCATTTGCTGAAATTAATTTTGGGAATGCCCCCACCTGGAAAAAGAAAATAAAACAAAAAACAAACAAACAAACAAATGGTTAGCTCAAACTGGGTTTCTGCATTCTCCGGTTTGTATTTTCTGTAGGCTGGAATTCTAACCAGGTGAAAGAATTAATGACGGCATTCAATCTCTTGTTGTGCTGTGTGGATCATGTACACAATAGATTTGGCCAACAGCTGCAGACAGGTGAAGGTAAAGTTTTCACTTAATTCAAAGTGGAGGACTCCAACTTCTGATTAATTTTAATCAGGAGTGATTTTGATATGCATACTTCATTTGTCAATTATCCACACCATTATATATCAATACTGACACTGTTCCTCATTGTTGACATATTTAGTTCTCTCTGGGACAAATATCCGGGAAAGTGTGGTAAGTCAACATTTTTACTTAAAGTGAAATTAGAATCCTGTTTCTGCTGTGTAGGTCCTTAAAGTACTGTTAAAAATCACTCACTCAAACTCTGTAACCTAAGCTTCCCACTGATGTGAACTGAAAGCTATTAGTTTAATTCATGACTCAGGCTTGGAGAGCATATGATCTGGTCTATCAGCTGGCTCAAACTCCCTGTGTCTTAAACTGATTTGTATTTTCCAGCAGGGTTGTCCTATACATTTGTCATACTTAAATCTTTAAAGTAAATATGTTTATACTTGTACTTTTCTGTGTGCTAATCAAATTCTTTGACTCTCTTGAATTTAGCATGATGGAATCCTTCCCAATCTATGTGAGGAATTGAGTGTACCTCTTTCAAATGTATGTATTAAAAAGATATAATTTGTAGTTGAAGGAAATGATACATTTCATCCTGTTTCTGGTTGTCCGAATGAAGCATTAAGAAATGAAAATGTCAGTGGTTTACATCATGGAATTTAATCATCACAATTCACTGACTTCTGCCTCTGTTAGCAAGTAAAATCTCTTTTTGTGCTGTTTCTTTTTTAGGTCGCATTAATCTACTCACAACACTTTAAACCATTTTTGGAGAAGTTAATTGAGGTACAAGTAACTTTGTTGATTACATATATCTTTTATTAACAAAGTAATGTCACAAAACTGTTATCATGAACAAACTTGCTGCACAAGTTCTTGTTGAGCAAGAGCTCAAACAACATTAATTCCCTGTACTGTACATCAACACTGAACAAACTTTGCCTTAACTGTTTAATCACATTTTGTTCATATGAATGATTTTCTTCCCTTTGTTACTTTGCTTTGTTACTTTCCACAGCAAAATGCAAGAAACTTGTTGAAAGTAAGTAATAGAGTCAAGAGAGCTTGGATTGGTCATGTTGTTGCTAATCCAATTTGTTAAATCATGATATGTTTATTAACAACTCTGGTATTGACCCTCAAACCCCTAAGAGTGACTAGCATCTAATTATCCTTATAATATCACCACTGAATCACACTTTGATGTCATGAGAATAGATGAAATAATCACCAACTAAAGAAACTCTTGATTGTTAGACAAATTTGCCGTAGTTAATTTACAGAGAACAGTATGGAGAATGTGGATACTGATGTTAGGGTGTAAAGGGTTAAGATTGACTTGAAAAGAGGTGCTAGACAGTGAGAGGCCACCTCAGGTTAAATTTACTGTGTTGTTCAAATAAGCACTCCAAAATATATTAAATATATTAAATATATGATATAGATTTAAAAGTGATCACACTGGTGGTGTTAGGTATCACTCTGTAAATTATCCAATTTTGACAATCTCTGTCTGCAGATTGGCGATTTAAATTCCATCTATGAAGAAGTCTGTGCAAGATCTGGAGATGTTGATGAGAGAGACTTCTTTGACAAAAATGGCTATTTATGGATTCCTTTCAATGAAGAACCCAGTGAAGTGGGACATGGCAGGTACAAAAGATCTCATATTTACCCAACTAGTAATTTTTTTACAAAATGTGAGACTAGCTGTATTTGATTTATTCAATTTAGTGCTGGAACTATTAGTGGTGTAACTACCAATACTGCGATCCATGATGAATGATGAAATGTGAGACTAGCTGTATTTGATTTATTCAATTTAGTGCTGGAACTATTAGTGGTGGAACTACCAATACTGCGATCCATGATGAATTTCAACCTGTTTTGGTAACCCTAACAGCTGATTTAGAATCAAGGTGCAGTATATATATGTACATCTTCAGCTCTAATTCTTTTTCTTGTTCTTCCTCTGGTTTGGGGTTATGTATGGATATTTCCTTCAGAGGGAACATAATCAGTGATCAAAATTACAACTGAGTTGTAATACCTTCTTCTCTGCTTGGTTTCTTTTCCATGTACAGTAGAAGGTCCTACCCACCAAGCTCATCATCATTTACTGATTTAAGAGCTACACTTGAAGAAAGAAGGTACTATATTTCCAAAGGGAATATGTAAATCAATTATACAATTCACAGTGAGGTCTTTTAAAATTTTATGTTATGCAAATTAACAAGAATATGTACCCTTTTAAGATAACTTAACCTTTGTTCTTTACTGTCACATTGTCATTCCATTGAATGCCAAATACTGTATAGAGGGTAAAATAAGCAGTTCACTTTTATACTTACTCATAACTCAGTAATACATGTACATAACACAATCTTATTTTTGGAGAGGTGGACTAACACAGTCCACTTGCACACTCAAGCTACTGATCACAACAGCCAAGTATAAATATACTCAGTCTGGTTAGTCAACATTAAAAGTATCGTTTGGAGTATGAAATGACATAATGTAGCTCTCGACACGTACTGATTGCAGGAAATCTTATTTGATAAATTATATATTTTTTGTTTAGCCATTTGCCAGGTCAAGAACTGATAAGGTTTTGGGAAGTAAGTATGTGTAAACAACATACCAGTATAATGTATTGCATTAAAAATGTATAATAGGAGCTTGAGGCTGAGGTAGAGAAATCCTGCTAACAGAATCATTGAAGATTCCATTCCAGATCCTTGTCACTCTTAAATGCCAGCCTTAAGCTTTTGTATGGGATAATTTTTTACTTACTTTGGCTTGAAATCCAACGCCAGAGCCAAATTAATTTAAAACATATTGGCATCAATACTGAATTCTAAAAATTAAAAAGATGAAAATCATAGTCCTTATCTCAATATTTGTTCATTAGCCTGAGAAAAGTCTTACTTCAGTCAAACATGAAGTTACAAATATTGGTATCATAGGTCATAAGTTTATGTTTCAAGTCTCTTCACTCAGCAAGGAATTTTTTCATGTGGGATTTAATATATAAATGACTTATTTTCTCCTTTTAGTCTTGTGGAAGAAATCCTAGAAATCTCATACAATCCAAATTAACAGGTGAGAAGTGACTTTTTTTTTTACTTTGAATTATTTAGAATATACGTAAGAAATAAATGAACATTATAATTCTCTTTTACTATTGGATAGGATCTGACAAGTATTTGATGATTACATTTGTTGGTTGACTTAATTAAAATTTTTAGCCGTTCAGGACGGTTTCCTGAAAGGATTTGATGACACTGCAGTTTGTGAAGGGGACTATAATATTTCAATTCAGGTAATTTGCTTTTATATGGTTATTGACTATATCGTTTTAACCATTTCACTCCCAAGATCTCGTTTGGTAATTCTCTTTACTGTCTGCCGTACAGTTCTAATAATGTTTGTTCTGAGAAGTTGGTATTAAATCACCATCTGGATCAACTGATGTTTTCTTTGTTCTCATCACTTGTCTGTATGATAGAAGAGATGAAGGAAGGTGATAAATTGTGATATCTTTTTTCTTTGATGACTGGACTCAAAATTAACCTTTTCTAAAATCTGTTTTAATGTAATATCTTTTGTGTTTGTTGCAGATTTTTGTCCTGGCAAAGAAACTTTATTATAGAGTTATGGAGGCTATGCTGTTGGCAGTGAGTTAATTTCTTTTTCACACTTGTTAGCCACAACAACATCTGTTTAACTTGCAGTTAAACTTATTTTATCTTATTTCATACTGTATACTTCATACACAGGAAGGTCTTCCACATATTCCTTAATAGAAAGAAAGCTATGCTTACTGCAACTTAGAGAAAAAGTGAAGCAAGCCACAAATTATTTTTTAACAAGAATTATTTCTTTGTCTTTCAGGAAGAGAAAAGATTATCTTATAGTGATTTCAGGTAGTTACTGTCTCCAAGATTTGTCCTTTACAACTATAAAGATGTTTTTTAACAGGAATTTTACATTTTTGGAAAAAGGTGGAATGCATTGTATTTTCTGAATCAATCACTAATTGTTTGTTTTCATGTTGTCAGTGCTCTACTGAATAGTGAAACATTCCATGTTTCGCTTTTGGCCTGTTCCCTTGAAGTTGTTATGGCTGACAAAGGATTGTCATGTACGTAATACTTTTATTGGATTGTTCCTTTATCATATGTTATGTAAGAACTTCAATCACCCAACATTTACTTCAAACCACCTGCATCCATTGGATAATGTTATCATCCAGGGTTAGATATCCCTTGGATGTCTGTCAGAGTAGTGCTCAGTACTTCTCATTTCTGATACAATAATTTCCAGGGCCAACTCTAGCATTTCCTTGGATTCTTGGCATTCTGAAGCTGGAGGTAATACACTGAAGTTAATGTTATTCAGCATCTACAGTTTGTGTCAACATTTTTGTCTCCTCAATCTGTTATGGAAATAGTATCAACTGATTCAAAGTTGTGAATTAACCCTTTCACTTCCAAGAGTAATCAAAATATAATTTTTGTCCTTAAAATATTTTCAAGACAGTGAGACAGGTGATGAGAAAACAAGAAAAACATCAACAGGATGATATTGTTAACACTAAATTTTCAGAGCTTAAATACTTTGCAATATGTGACAGACAAAGTGAAAAATTTATGCTTGAAACTTAGAAATGAAAGGGTTTGATCTAAAATGGTATTTTGTTTTCTCTGCATCACCAATAACGATTGAAATGCAAAACTTAAGTAGCTGTATTTTGAACCTCAGAGTTTGCATGTTATTGATTGTGAAAGTTCTTTTGCATTTTAGGCATTTGATTTTTTCAAAGTCACTGAAAGTTTCATTCTTCATGAGCCACTTCTTAGTAGCAGTTTAATTAAGGTAAAGAATGTACCAATGACCTACATGGTGTTTGAAACTTTTGGCAGAAACTGGAAAATTATTTTGATCATCAGTAATTAAGCAATGATGCTAACTTGTTTTTTGTTTTGTTTTGTTTTACTTTCTTTTTGTCAGCATGTAAATCGAATAGAGGAACAAGTGTTGGAGAATTTGGCATGGAAAACGGTGAGTGCAGATCAGCAATTATTTAGAGGGCCTCCACCTTGGCAAACCTTCAAGGGAGTTGAGATACCAAAAACTTCGTTACAAGGATAATACTGTTTATTGTCCTGTTGTCTTGAGCAATCGTATTTCACTGTTGTTTCTGACTCTCTCTTTTCCAGGGTTCACCTCTATTAAAAGCAATGGAAACCTATCATCCACACTCTGACCCAGCAACAGTGTAAGTATTTGTGAAAGGATGCTGCCACTTAGCTATAAAAGCGCTTCAAAGGGATAACCGGAAACCTATATTTGGCAGACCAAATTTCTATTATTGACGAGGAAGAGCTCGAAACCACTATATCTGTAGTGATTTGTTTGTTGGACATAATTTTTCATTCTTATCAGTTAACTTTGTTTGTCTTAGAGGCTCTGTTCAGCAGCAAAAGAAGTCGCAGTCTCTAAATTTGTTTTTGAGGAGAGGTTAGTGCTAAGATTTTTCTGGCCTTTCACTCCAAGTTGTGAGAGTTTTTACAATCTTGTCATACTTTTGATACTCAGTCAGGGGAAAGGTAATGTTACAATATATAACTCAAACGACAGTGTTTTCATGTAACACGTGTGTTAACAGGCCAACTTGCGAAGAACTTTTTCAAAATGTAACCTACGCTTTTTTTTATTATTTTTTTTTAATGTCTGCAGTGAACCAGTTGTCCTACCATCGTTTAACAACGCTTTGTGATAAACTTGAAGTCAGTGACACGCTGGTAAGTATGACATGTGCAGTATTGTGGTCCTGACCATAATGGCCTCTCGAACCTAGAACTAAAACAGACGCTAAATTGAGCGCGAAGGTTTCAATCGGGGTGTGTGCGTGGATCTCAATTTATGATATGAAAACCTTAAAGTCTAACCCATTTTGTTACCATGTTTTACAAGAATTTCAATTAATCTCTCCAGACGTAAACGCACCACGTAAACGTAAACGTGAATTGTGTTATTCTTCTCCAAGATTGAAACAACATCATAAACACTTTACATCTTGACGGGTTCTACTATTGGAAACAATTTGAAAAATAAGATCAAGTTTCTCGAAATTAGTTTTAATTAAAAAAGAAAAAAAAAAACGAAAAAAAAAGTTGTCGTCAAGAATAGTTAATGCCACTGTGCCGGCTTTTCTACAACCCTCAGTTACACCTAAATAATAAAAGCTGTTTTCTCTCTCAAGAAAGGCCTCTAAACCAGTAGTATATCTTTGTTCAGACGTGCTTAAAATTCTCATGTCAGGTCAGTCACATGTGGACGTGCTTGGAACATTCACTGAGATTGCATTGGCAGTTGATGGTTGACCGTCACTTGGACCAGGTTCATGTACAAAGCGTTGCATTTATGTTGGCTTCATCCTTTCACTCTCAGGAGACACCCAAAAGAACATTCTCCTTAAATTTTCAACTAGAGTATATCGTTTGATGTAACATTAAGCGTAAATTATGGGAATTGTATGGCAGGCAGCACGGAAAATTGATATAAATATTGAATGAGAGAGAGTATTAAAGACACTTCGGTACTCCAGAGCTTTCACTTATCTGATCTGATTCTGAGCAGCCCGGGCCAGCCAGCGACCGCTCGTGCGAAGGGCCTTTCTTGTCCGATTTCTCGCTTGCGTACTTCTAGAGCATGTCTTTCACAGAGCACCGGCTACACGGGCTATTTCACCTAAAAAATCCAAATTTAGCGGCAGTAATTTAATCTTTCACTTTCACGTTCAAAATTTGAATCATACATACACAATCGGGGATTGAGATCATTGAAATCTTTTTCTTATGATTGTATTTTAAGACCATGAGAAATAATTACTTTATCTCCCCTACAGATGCTTTTGTGTGCAGTGTACGCCATTTCTAAGGTGGTCGGAAAAGAAATTCAATTTAAACAGATTGTCACCGTCTACAAAGGATTGCCATTTGCATCGGCACAGGTAAGTTTCTGAAAGGAATTTGTTTACTCAATTAACCCTTAAAGGAATTTGTTTACTCAGTTAACCCTTTAACTCCGGTGAGTGACCAAGACAGAATATTTCCTTACTGTATCAATACATTATCATGCAAACAAGTGATGAGAATAAAGAAAAATATCAACTATAGGATTACTAATTGTCCGATACCACATTCTCCCAACTAACATAACGAGAATCGTTTGGCAGACAGTAAGGAGAATTACTAATGAGATCTTGGGGGTTAAAGGGTTAAGCTCCCGCTTAGTTAAGCTCTCGCTCAGTCATCTATGCATGCGTTCGTTTATTCATTTATTTTTGTTGTCAATCTCTGACAGAAAGTGATAAAGAATGTAGAAAGTGCTGTCTTGGAAAGGAGAATTTTTCTTGAAATCAATTTTTTCCTAAGACAACTTCAGTCGATAAGTCAAAACTATTAATAAAAGTTTCATGCTTAAAACTTTACCAGTGAGTTTTCTTTGGTCACAATACTCTGGGCTTCCTTGATAGATTAGGAGCCTCGAATCATTTTACCCCGTAGTAAGCTATGAATGGGGGTACATCGTTGTAGAATAATAAGCAATTGTTCCACGAGCGCGCGTGAAGATTATAGATAGCCAACGAGGACCGTAGGGCGGAGTTGGCTATAATCATCTCATATCCAGCAAATGCGAGTAGAATAATTGTTTAATTAAAAACGCCCCAAAATATAGATCAATCTTCCTAACTTTTATTATGTAAGGACAAAAAACACTAACCATATTTTTAGAGCAAGGTTTGATGGGTCATAACCCATGATGACTAAGCCAGTTAAAACTCTTGAATCGAATCATCCGATAATCCAGCTTTAATAATAGAGAATATTGACAATTACTTGAGAATTTTAGTTACGTTGTTCTATTAATTCCACCAGGTGTACAAGGGAACCTCCGGCAGAGAACAAGAATCAATCATTGGATTCTACAACAAGGTGTACATGGTTGCAATGAAGTCCACCATTCTTCAGTTTGCACCAAACAAGGTAAGTGAACCTTTTTTTTTTCATTGTTAATGGGAGTCTGTACACGAATCAAGTAGCCTTATCTTGGTGTCCACAGCATGAAGTGACTAGGAGTGTTCCTTTTTCTCATTGTTGGTTACTCTGCCCCCCTCCCCCTCCCCCTCCCAGCATCTTCTCAGTTTTTCCAGGGAGACGCTTTGTGAGAGTTAAGTGTCTCTCCCTTGAACTCAACACATTGATTTGGCCAGGCCTCGAACGCGGACCTTTCGACCCGGAGTCCACATTCTTTCATCATCCTACTTATCATGGGTTGCACTCTTCCTTTCACACGATCCAACAGATGTGATATTTAGTGAATTCCATGTCCGAAAAATACTCGCGGTTTTTACTCGAATATCGTTCTCTAACATAACGTAACTTGAATAATCATGGCTTCAAGCTGATATGTAATGTGCAGTTTAACTTTAGTTTGTTGAAGGGTTCATGTATTTTTTTTTCCCGCACAGGACGCTCCTGTTTCACCCGCTCCCAAAAGCGCAGTGAGGTGCATTGTCATTTTGTTCCATGTAATTGTACGTGTGTTCTAAGACTAATCGGTTGATACGATTTGTTAATGACACTTATGTGTTAAGATCCCCGATAAACATTCTCGGCCATTTGGTGTGCCCTTTCACCATGTATATCTTCATGTTTTTGGCTTAAAATACTATTGTCGGTTTGTAGGGTTCCAGGGAAGAATAATTTTTATCTATCTCCACTACGAAGCTCTCCAAGCGAAACTTTAACTCCAAAACCAAGGTAAGTAACAAATGAAAGAAATAACAAAGGAACATGACTTAATTCACTCAAGACCTTTCATTTTAGTAACAAGTGATGGGGAACTAGAAAAGCTTTCTCTCGTCTTCAATGTTGAAAATACATTTCATAGTACTTGGTTTTTCTAATTAGTTACTCGTTTATTTCGTAGGTCATCATTCAGCTTCGGGGAGTCCCCAGGGGTAAGTTTGTATGAAATTCCCACACAGTCTCCGCCCCCAATCACCCCAGATGTTATTGTGGTATTTTAACAAGGCGACTCCGGAAGTGAAAGGGAACGACAAGTCCAAAGACTCGCGTGTATACGTCACCCCGGGAGTTGGGAGGTTGCGGAAGGGGGTAGGGTGGATTGTCAATGTTTCATGCCCTCTAAGGAATCGCGTTTTTTTTTTCATAATGTAGTTGTTCTATTTGTAAGACTTCTTTGTATTACTATTTACCTTTAGTCCGCTGACCGTGAGAGCCTGTCAAGAATAAATGCCTCCGTACGAGCAGCGGTGCATAGTCAACTCAAGGTACCACAGAAGAGATTGCGCTTTGACGACTGTGACCAAACTGAACCAGGCCCTGTTCTCACGAACGGCCACTCGACAGAAAAGGAGACTGGGCCACATTTGCATGGGAGGAATGCTTCGAAAGAAGAGGAAGAGAAAGGGGATGAAAGTTATTAAAAAATGGGAATATCGCCCAGGGGAAGGGTAAGGGGTACACCCAGGAATTCTTGTTGAGGCTGTGCCTCTTGGTTTTCCTCTTGGCCCTTTGAAGGACATAACCATGAAATTCCTTCAGCCTCTTTCTGACCTTGCCAAGTGAAGTGAACACAATGCTTAAGAATTTCAATTATTTATTTGCTGTAAAAGTACTTTGAGATGATGAAAAGTTTTTAACGCGCAAACTTATAGACCAGAGCGAGTTGCCTCGTTCAGGCGTCATGGCTATAGCATCCACGTATATATGTACTTCTTAACCCTTTAAATTCTCTTCGACTTCAGTGGTCAATACCGGATTTCAGGTGGGGTGGGGTGGGTTGTGGTAGCACATACCTACACGGCTATAAAGGGGAGTATCCCTTATTTATAAGGGAGGA